TATATGTGTGTATGCTTTTTCACAGGCCTTCTTCGTTTAGATTAAAAAGTCAAATAATTCATTTTTGTATACATAACACCACTTTATGGTGCAATATGACCCGACCACAACTGTAACTCGCACTCTTCTTTTCTCGATTGAAACGGTTCCCTGTGTTGTTGTTCGTTCGTTGTGCGCGCTCCCTCAGCATATTTTATGCTCGGTTGACGTTGATAAGGAAAATAAAAGAAACATTTCTATCTTTTGATCGCTCTTATCGAAAACTGCACGAAGGAGACTATAAGAATAGAAAAAACCGCACATACACAAATATTGACATATTCAATGGCACCAAACAAATGAATAGTGATTTTTCTTCAACCTCTTTGCTATCGATATTTTCGATTTTATTGAAAAGTGAAGATGACATTAAATTGTCGAGCAACGTTTGCGATAGAATTTAATTCATTGAAATATCATATTACAAAGCGTTCGATTTAAACAGCAACAGCAGCCACTTATTCACTCTCACAAATACATACACAAAAAAAAGAAGAAGAAGAGAATACGTTACATTGCTCCTTCCTTCCTTCCATAAAAATAAAAATAAAGAGAAAAACATACAAAACAAAACAAATGTGAAGTGTTTCCCTTTCAATTCTCTGTTTACATAGATTCACACCAGATAACAATTTTCTTTTTTTGTACTACACTTTAGTTCACTTTTATATAGTCATCGTCAAATTATCACATCTCTCTCTCTCTCTCTCTCGGTGTGTTTTTTTTCCCTTTCGCTTGCGATAAATTGGCCAATGCAAAAATGAATGTTATTTTTCATTCAATCGGCCAAATGGAATTTGAAGTGTTTCTCGCATCATTTTTTTGTTGTTGTTGTAAAAATATAACAATTTTTTGCGTTCCTTCTTTATTTTAAATGTAGTTTCAATGACCTTTTTCAGTTCAAAACCCTTAATCATTGAAAATTGGCTCAAACGTTGTAAGTGACAAACAATCGAAAATGGGTTCAGAAAAGTTATCGCCGCCGTTGCCTCCCCGAAAAGTCAGCGATACAATTGAAGGGTGAGCAAATATACGAAGATAATCAAAATGACTGCTTAATGAGGCGAGCGGAGCTCATTTTTTTCTTGTCAGTAAGCACTTCCTTGATAACAAGCAACAACACGAAAGCTAAGAAGTGGAAAAAAAATCCAAGCGGCAAAATATTTAGCCACCACGGTACCCCCTTGAGTCATGTATTTACAACGACTTAATTTCCATTAGAAAATCCAATCAAAACACATGTGCTTTTTTGGTAAGTACTCAACGGGGCGCAATTTTCCATTTCAATACCTTTTTGTGCTGTGAAATGATAACAAAAATGTGTTTAAACATGGTATGTGACATCAAATGCTAATCGTTTTCAACCTGTTGATTTACTGGTCCATGTTGACTATACGCATAGAAAAATCAACGGCATGTGATAGACAATTCACGAAACGAGAGATGCGAACAAATCGAAGTATAAAATAAGACGATGCTTAAAACATTTGAACCAAGAGAGAACAATACAAATGACATGATTTGATTTATATTACGAGTATGCATAAAAAAAATCTGAAAAATGTTTATAGCACAAGACAAGAAAAATGAATATAGAGATGAAAAGAAACAACAAACAACACAGAGAGAGAGAGACATGTATACAAACAAAGAGAGCGAGAGAAAGAGAGATAGAGAGTAGAAGAAAACAAGAACAATTCAATCGAAAAAGACACAAAACAATCTTTTGGTCGCGTTCAATGTTCATTCATATAAAAGAGAAAACAGAGAGCGAACAAAAACCACACCTCCATTCACTAACGATTGGTGGATTTGGCGCATGATTCTGACAATAACAAACAACGAAATGGGAAAAAAGCATTCGCTCTCACTCTAACGCTCATACACGAGATGCATGGTAAAAAAGTAACGAAGACTCGCTGTCGCACAAAACCAACGCATAACATTACAAGTGATTCTCTATGGCGAATGGAGTGAATAAGAAAGGAGAGGCTGTGGGGAGCGCGCGCGTAAGCGACATGTATACATCACCGTTTCATTGACGATGGTGGATATTGTCTTTTTTTTTTCATTGTGGCCCGAGAAAAATTTGTAATTCGCCAAGAAAACAGACACTTGCTGTCTTTTCCACATTTTGTATTGTTGTTTCTCTTTTTTGTTATCATCTCGTTCTCGCTCTCGCGTATCATTCGCGTATTGCTAATACACAAAAATTTGTATTCTCATTTCGATGGGAGCGCGCTATTTTACATGTTAATACCGCTCTTCTCGAGGCAGCCACACGCTATTGTCATTTTCCTTATTGTTGCAATGTTATTGTTACGGCTTTCGTGGTTGATTGTTCAACATTTTTCGAGCGCACTGATGAGGGTGGGATCTTTATTTCACAATATTGCTATTTTTTATGCTCACAACACATAATAAACGGCGAAGAAAGATAGAAAAAAGGAAGCAAATATCGTACACATAAAATAGAGAAAAAAAATTGGCCTTTTTTTAAATCTAAAACCAATGTTATTTTATCTCCGTTTTATGTGGTTTAGTTTATTTTTCACGTCATTTTATTGCATGGATATTGTAAAATGCCTGGTTTATTCTTAACATCAGCACAGAATACTTTTACGAAAAATGCCCTTATTGTTGACTTGAATTGTAAACCTTTGTTTTTTCTGCCTTTTTCAATCGTTTTAAATTAAATTAGGACAAAAAACAAAGATTTTCGTTTTAAAAAAGAGAGAATTATGTAAAAAAATCTCCGAAATAGTTAAAACAAAATCTGCATTAAAAAAAACATCTAAAAATCTCCGAAAAAAAGAGTTAATTTGGCGAAACTTGATAATGCCACAATATTGATTGATATTGGATTCAGTGGATTTCTAAAAACCAATTATTATCCCGAAATCGACTGTGGCTATTTATTGTTCAAAATCACTGGAAAGGGATTGTCAAAATATTTTGTTTAGACAAAACATACACAGGGAGAGAGAGAGAGAGAGAGAGAGAGAGAGAGAGAGAGAGAAAAGAATAAAAAAAGAGTCAAAATTCCCATTGTCAATTGTGGTTTCTATGCAAACAACAATGTGTGAAAGGCGCATCGTCAATGAGTTCAACCCCATTCGGTGCACGTATATCAGAGCGTCGTTAAAATATATTAATTTGTTGTTCTAGTAAAGGAGATATAAAAAGTGGTATAGATTTGTATGCGTGTATACATATACTTGACTTGGTAGTTGAACGAATTGATATAAGAAATTGGTCATGAATCTAAATAACCTTGGGTGGAAAATTGCGCGTGAAAGTGGTGAAAAATAACTGTGTGGCGGTTGTGAGGAAGCTCGGCCCGCAAAACGAGGGATGAAAACAATTGGATTGTTGTACGTGTGACACGCGCTCTGATTTTCCGATATATATCTCATAATGAAAAGCGAACGAAAGATGCAAGTGCCTGATTTTGAATTTTTGTTTGTGGATGACTAGGATGCCAACCAAATGCGACAATACGCATCCATCCAAAATTGGTTTGTTTTCTTTTGTGCTCTTTCTCTCAGCTGTATTTTTACATTCACAAAACAGCAACAACACAATATGAATGCCAAAAAATACGGTGCAAATGCACAACCCAATCGTCAATATTTCCATCTTGCTCTGGCCAACACAAACATCATATGCCATAACATTGTAAACTGAATGGCACGAACATCGCGAATACTTTATAGGAATTTTTCGCTCTCTGTTTTTTGCTTGGGCCATCATGCTCTTTTGTTCCGGGTATTGTTTGTACTATGTTTGTTTGCTTCGTTTTTACGCGCAATCTTTTCACTTTTTTGTGTATGCGCCACGCTATCATCACTTCCCACCAATGTGAATGGGATCCAAACAAACATCATAATAACAAACATCGAACGAAACGCTCTTGCCCTGTCTCCCACAAATACATTTACCTTCGCATTCATTCTATTCCATTATTTGCATAGGCAATAGATAAACATTATCAGTATTATTTTTCTGGTTAAAAAACAACAGGATTTCTTCCATTGCGAGCTCGGTTGTTGTCGCCTTCTTCCACAAACGCTTGCCGTTCGTTCTTCGATCCGCTCTTTTTTTTATCTATTTCACCGATGCCATTGTCACAACGTGCCAGTTGAGTATGTATTCGTGTGTGTGTGTATGCATAAGAGATAGAGAGAGTGAGAGAGAGAGTGCGCGTGTGCTCAATGGCAATTCAAACCGATTAATTCCAACGTGTATATGTGTTGTATATTCTCGGTGGATGAGAATTCTAGCTCATCCATTGATTTGACTTTCGATGTATGTTTGTCTCAATTCTGTGGTTGTGCGAATTATCAAAATATCAACATCGCTGTATTTTATAGATAGGCGAACGGAGACACACAAAAAATACAACTCCATCATCGACCGATTTCAATTTTTGTCATTTTCACATTTTTCGATTTTCCAATCCAAAAATTTCAAATAAAAAGATTTGCAAAACGTACAGGAAACTTCAGGAAACGACTCTGACAATTTAAAATATCAACAAAACCTTTTGTTTCAATTCCAATTTTAATAAATTCCGGGCTTGAGTCTCACTTCATAAAATGTTATGAAAAAAAGAATTCATTTCAAGTATCGGTCCGGGCCCATTCGGGACATGCACCGGACGGTGTAAATGTATTCCAATGCATTGATGGGGTATTGCCGTGTGGATGTATGTTTTATACGCTTTTTGTGCCTACAAACGACAACAAAAACCAATAACAATAGGACACACTGTTATAAAATAGAAGTGAAACGGTGGAATATTTCGCGCGCGCTTTGCCTTACTTTCCCTTTGAAAAAGGCATCATCGACATCATCACCATCGTCGTCATCGTTGCCCAAGTCAACATACGCCATTCACAATATCACATTCGACATTGTCACGACGGCGATGGCATTTATAATGTATCAGTTGACGTGAACAGTTGTTTGGGATTTTTGTTTAGTCTGTCATCTCTCTTACTTGGTGTTTTTCAATAATCGAGTCGTTTTGTCGTCGGGTGGTGCTTTATCTATTTCGTTAAACGCGTTCTGTGCGGTGGATGATATTTTTTTGACTTTTTTTATTGGTTCAATTTCAACACTCTGTTTCGAGTGTATTCAATCATGTGCTTATAACAAAATAAAGCTACAATTTATCGTGTTTTTATTCGATAGAAAGGGTGCTCTTAAGTGGTTCGTTCAACGATCAAAAAGATTCGAACAAAAAATAACCGAAAATCTTTGTGAAATCAAAAAAAAAAACAAACAGTCGAACGCGAGACATTTTTGGATTAAATGTGATCTTAGATGACAATTTTGTAAATTGTTTAGTGATGGTGTGGTTCTGATAAATATCAACTGTGAATAAATTTTACTTACTGGTGCAAAGGACATTTTAATTGAAAATATTATTTTACGAAAGAAGAAAATCCAGTTCAAAGAAAAGGAAAATTAAATAAAAATTAAAATAAAATCAAGGATATCAATTATATGTGTTTGTCATCAAAATCAATAAATCATGTCGCAAATATTAATGAAAAATCAAAGTGATCACATAAAACGTCCAATGAATGCATTTATGGTGTGGTCACGCGGTCAAAGACGAAAGATGGCCCAAGACAATCCAAAAATGCACAATTCGGAAATATCGAAACGACTTGGTGCCGAATGGAAATTGCTTACCGAATGCCAAAAACGTCCATTCATCGATGAAGCAAAACGATTGAGGTAGAACACACACACATTTTAATCGAACGACTCATTTTCTCTTTGTTTGGTACTTGGTTTATTCTTTTTTCTTTTGAAATTTCACTATGGGTTCAATTAAATTGAACGGAATTATATTGTTTATTTAATATACCCATCAATAAATGTGTCTTATCAAATAAACGAGCTCAGTGGTATATAAGTTCTGACTCATTTGATTCATCATATAGTTCTGAATGAGTTGATTAAAAACTCATAAAATCATTTGTTGACACGAAAAATAGGCTTAAAAAAGTAAAGTAAATGGGAAATTAAAATTAAAAAAGGAATAACCACATCAAAAGTAAAAATATTGACAATTGCATTGAAGTTGACAAAATTCCGTCGGTGAAGTTACCGTATTTCTTTTTTTACAAACTACAAGCATTATTATAATAACTAATTTAACTTTTATCAAATTTTCCCTGTCTCTCTCAACTCCTATAATTATTATTCAGAGCGCTTCATATGAAAGAGCATCCGGACTATAAATATCGGCCGCGTCGAAAGCCAAAAACTCTTGTAAAAACACAAATACCGTCAAATCATCAAAAGCATCTGCATTCTCATCATCATTTGAGCAGCGGTAGCAAAGATTCACAATCCCATCAACAGCAAACACATCCACAGCATCAGTCAACGGCTCAAGTGCAACATTTATCACCAAAATATCCATTCACCTCATCATTAGAATTAACACTTGGCATTCCACATCGTACATCGACATTTCCATTGAGTAGCCATTATCAACTGCCCGCCACACCGTTGGATACAACGCTTGCCCTCGATTTGCAGGCACGTCTTCAACAAATGTACGGTTCATTGTATCCACCATGGCGATATTTCAGCGGTTGTCCATCGGCAGCAACAGCTGCTGCGGCTGCTGCAATGGTGCCCAGTGACAGTCAATCATCACTATCGCCCGTTGGATATTGTGTTAAATCAACAAAACGTAGCCCATCACCTGTAACCGCGACAAATTCACTTCCAAGTGTTATATGACCAACTCCGTTGCGCTTTAGCGCCGAACCAACTGTCTAAGTCTTATATCAATCAAATAGATAATTTTTTTATCGCGCACACATTAGCCCAAAAAAAAATATATATATATATGACAAACTGCCTGTGTATTTTAAATCGCACATTCATTGTGCCATCGAATGCAATTTTTTTTTCTATCACCAAACAAGCACAACCATTTAAGATGTACGATAATATATTTAAAAAAACAGCACTTTCGAATATATTAACAAATCAGTCAAAATCTGTGGTATACGGTCGTGAAGAACAGAAGCATTTTTATTGAGTCACTTCACCGTTTATCACAGCAACATATTATTGAAATTTGTGGCAAATTCACAATCAAATAATCAGTAGATGTTTTGTGCAACTCGTGCCGAACTTCGTAAATTGAAATGGATTTTGAAATGATTGCATCGAATTCCGATCTAATTTAAGGTGAATACATTATGGAGCATTCTTTTTTTTTATTTCAGTGCAAACATATAATAATTTTGCACTTCTTAGTGGACAAAAGGAATAACGAATGACAAATTTAGTGAAAAATAAACGGCAATGACAAATCGCAACGATATGCAAAGCAAATAGAAGAAGAAAAAAAAATCTAGAATGAAATCGTAAAAAGTCGATGAATTATGGTTTTAATTGTTGTTGAAAATAATTTGTGATAAAACGTTCATATCAATTGAAAGTAAATGAAGCGACAAACAAAAATTAGAAAAAAACATGAAAATATCTTATAGAAAATCCCAAAGAATCAAAGATAAAAAAAGAAAATGGAAATGATTTGTGTTTTGCAACAATTTTCATCAAGTCACATACAAACACACACACATCACCCCCACACACACATTTTAGGGGTAATATTGTAAGTTTTAGATATACACATACAAGATCATCAACAATCACTCAAAAAATAAAAACACATTCGTGGTAAAATAATATGAATTAACTTTTTTCGTTTGTAATAAGTGGTAAAAGTTATTGTATTAAAACAAAACAAAACAAAATCGAATTAAAATAAATTGTATATGCAAAAATACGTTGATATGGGCGAAACGAAAAAAAACCATATTGAAAGTGGGTAGCCATTGGAGACCATACAAAGTACTCTCATAAACACTTCAAAAACACATTCAGTGTGTGAACATTTTTCGGGATATAAATTTAATTTGTACATGAGCCATTCAACCAATCTATGTTAATTCATTTTCTTTGGCAATTCCCCCCTGTACAATTCACATACAGTTAATTTCCATTGTTTATGTTATCGGGCACATATCACAACAATTGGACACCGGGGCATTCATCGTAATACAAAAAGCAACACACTCTGAAAATTAGTTCCGTCCATTTGACTCGATGGATTCTGTAATTGTTGCATGTTATCTCTCATATTCAATTCATTATATCTCTATACTGTAATTTTGTGAAACACTGTGTACCGATGGAACGCAAAATCCAGTCATGTTTTCATTTTAATTTGAGAGTTTTTAATTAGAGACCGAATTTATTTCAGAATTTAAAAACACACACACACACAATTCAATTCTGATATTATGATCAATGATTATTATTATAACTGGTAATAATTTTGGTTTTCAATTGTGTTCAATATTCTGTCCGAGAATTATTCGATTTTGTTTTCTTTTTTTCTTTTTCACCATTCTTTTTCACAATCATCTGCAATTTTTTGTGTGTGTTTCACTTTTTCCCCCTGAAAAAAAATAAAGTTTTTCGTATTTAAAGTATACCTGAATGAAAATTAAAATGTGTGCACATTTTTATTTATAGTATAAGATAATAATTAATACAGTATCAAATTAGAAAAATAATTTGTGACATTTGAACCGTGGGCAATATGGTCACAACACCAAAAATAATACGTAATTTTGAAATGAAGTTTTTTTTATCAAAATAGAAAAGAAACTCAAGATGATCAATAGTAATACACGTAAAATAAGTTTAGTTACAGTAAACAACACAAAATCAGACACACTACATAGCAATTCATTTGTATTAGTCAAACAGCAATCCATGTAATTTTATCTAAAGACACCATTGTGACACTAAAAATCATGATTCAGGTAAATTGAATAAAAGGTAACATTTGAAAAATGAGCAAAATAAACATGTTGATTTTTATTTTTAAATATATATTAGAAATGGTCTATTTTCGCACAGTTTTCAGTCTTCTTCTCGCCTCTGTTTACAGCAATCCATCCTCATTTTAATTGCTCTATTTTTTTCTAAGCTCAATACATGTTGGACAATTGAATTTAATCGGTTAGAATATTCGTGAGCTTAAGAAAATTGTTAAAGTAAAAGAGTTCATATAAAAATGTATGGGCACGTGGCAGTTTTATTTTGACAAATTTCTTGAGGTCACGAATATTCTAGTCGGTTTGAATATTACGTTTTAAAAAGATATTTTTAAATTCTCTTTTAACCTGTATAATTTGTTTTTTTTTTCTTCTTAAATTCATTCAGTTATTCGTTGAAAACAAAAAGTAAACAAAAAATCCACATCGATCAATAAATCCTGCATTAAATAATATTTGCTCTGGTTTGGTTGATGCATTTTTAAATGCATCGCCAAACCAAAATTGTCTTCAACACATACGCCGTTCAGTGCATTACAGTTTTCTAAATGGGACGACTTAGCCACAGTCAATCAAGCGACCAAAGTGTCGAATTGTATGTTGTAAAATCAACCCCATGAATTAGTAGTGATTTACCTAATTGTCGACACAATAAAAACGATACGGTAAATGTTGCATGCAAGCAACCGATTGAAAAGTATTTTGTGCCGATTTGCATTACACAAGAGGGGTGCACCAATAAGGAAGAAAAAACGAAGGGATGCAATCAACTCACACCGCAGTGAGGGTAAATGGTATACTAGTGGGACACAGCAACACCTCTTTTCTTTTACACTAGCGAAGTATTTTTTTATTCCAAATCACTTTCTATGTGGTTTTTAAAACAAAAGATTATATTTATTGCAAACATCTTGCGAAAAAAAAAATTAGAATAAAAAAAAAATCGTGTGAAATAAACAAAACATGTCCCATCGCTAGACCGACTCCCTTACAGCATTACCGGATTGATACAGTTTGAAAAGGGGGCGATGAATGTAGTATCGCAGAGAGGCTTGATGCATTTATTAAACATAAGGGTGCCGACAATTTTCTTCGGTGTGTGCCTCATCTTATGTAGGCATTAATCATCATACAATGACGCTAAACAAATAACATACTCATGAAAATCATTTTTGTGAACACGATAAATCGGGACGGCAAGCATACGGAATCAATGTACGAAAATTATTCACACAAAATACATCATTGTACACTTATATGAAGAAAAAAATGCAACAACAACAAAAGAACGAATCATTTCAATTTCGGTATGGAAGGGATTCTTCAACAGTCAAGTATCTTATGATTGATGATTTGCACAACACGATACTGACATAATATTTACAAATCTCCGTGTTATTGTTCTGACGATTTTCCATACTTGGGTGTGTGAGGAAGGAAGAGAGAGAGAGAGAGAGAGAGAGAGCGTGAAATAAAAAAAGAAACGTTTTTGTGGGAGATTCCCGTGAAAAACATATGAATAGTAAAATCAAGAGTGACAATCAAGTGTTATATTTAAAATTAAAGGACTTTGGTTTTTATATATTTCGATTGTCTAACCAAATCATGCGCGTTTTATTTTAAATATTCAAGGGATATTCAATGAATGCCAACATTTGCATACAATTTTTCGCGCCTGAATGGAAACTATTTGTAAATCAAATTGTAAACACTTTATTAATTGATATTTTACAGAAAATTGGTTCGATTCATTTCTTTTGTTTGCGTCTGCATCGAATCTTTATTAATCAGAAGAAAGAAATGTTTGCAACATTATGATAATTAATTCAATTTCCATTCAAGAAAAAATAATAATAATCGAAAATGCATGTGAATTGCTCACGCGTATGAGTGTTTGTCATGAAAATAAGTATGTGATAAGGTTTTTGTCGCATCCGAAAAATTTGATTCAATTGTTTTCACAAAACAATAGAAATGTCAAAAATGAGGGGTGGTGGTGGTTTTATTATGACAATCCAATTTGTTGATCTATTCATCTGGAAGTGGTACGAATGGTGTGAGTACAATTTGTGTATTCAAAGTTTATTTGACTTCATTGAATGTTTATGCTCTGGCAAATGATTAAATTGAAATAAATGACTTTTATAGGCGATTTCCGAATAGTGGAATCATTTTGAGTTTTATGTGCCCCTTGTTTTGTGAGCGCGAACAGCTATTAGACCTCATCAATAGGTGTATTGTTCGAACCTTTGACAAACAATCCAAAATACAAACACATGCAATCGTTCCATAATTCAGTTATTTTGAAGTAGCAAAAAAAGAAATGCTCGTATTTTTATTAAATTTTGAAGAAAAAAGAAGACAAACGACGAACGAAACATTTGCAAAATGTAAAATTCAATTTGTTTTCGTTGTCACACTATTGAATGGTGTGTCATCCTTTTTGTGAATTCAAATCAAAAGAGAACCCTGAATAAAGAAAGATTAGCGCAATAAATCGAATGCAAACGTAATAGTTACAAAGATGACAAAATGATATGGATGAATCTAATAAGCTTTTGATATACTTTACGATTCGATTTAAAGAAATGAAATGAAAACCCAACGATCCCCAATGCTGTCATGGTCATCTTTAAAATACACTTTGTAATTTTGGTGTGTGTGTGCCTACTTTTCCTTGGGTGTCAAAATGTGGGTAAAGATTTTGACCGGCCTTTCTCTCTCTCTCTCTCTCTCTCTCTCTCTCTCTCTCTCTCTCTCTCT